TTGTTAATATTCCATCCTGTCTTTAAAGCAATAGTCTAGGACTCCGCGACTTGCTTAAGGTAATGAGTGATCCTTTGCTATTTTTTGTTCTACCATTAAGAGAAGAATTGTAAGACCTAATCAAGCTACACGCCATATTCATCTGCACCTAAAAGGAATTTGGTAAGCAAGAGATTATTTTTACAAAATTATATACAATGATCGATTTAACCATCTAGACATATGATGTGCACATAATACTATTCAAAGTCTCCAACTTCTTAATTAACAATATACTCCCTCCGTTTCACAAAGAATGACCTGGTTTGACTTGGCACAAAGTTTAAGTAAATAAAGAAGACTTTTGAATCTTGTGGTCCTAAATTAAAGTTATGTCAAATGTACAAAATTGCCCTTAATCTTGTGGTCTTAAACATGCCACGTGGAAAGCAAAAAGTAAAATGTTACCAAAAAAGGAAAGAGGTCATTCTTTTTGAAACTGACTAAAAAGGAAAGGAGGTCATTCTTTGTGAAACGGAGGGAGTAATATATGAACAATACAATATATTATACATGGGAGAAGTTGAAAAAAATGTTTTATGGGAAAGAAGTGGACAATCTATGGTATAAAGCGTGCATAGGCGTTCTTGGGGTGTATTGAGCAAATAGCTCAAGGTGTAAAACGTGCATGGAACAAATACTCCAGTTTTAGAGGCGTTTCCCCCTTTGACAGCCGGGGTGTTTATCAGCTTCCTTGCCCCTAGACGAATACCAATCTCCCTTTCAAATGTTTCTGCTAATGGTTCTTTTAACAGGTTACAGGACCAAGTGGAAGTGGTAAAACTTCATTGCTGAGAGTGGTAGCTGGTCTTTGGAGTTTCGGGAATGGAGCAATTACAGTTTATGTCAGACCTAGAGGAGACCTGGAAATGCTGCACTCTCCAGATGTAGTTTCTTATCAAGTGACTTCAACTAATGAGACCATAGGGGATTCCACAGGACGTAGAAATTTTGAAGGTGTAATTTTTCTTCCTCAAAAACCATATATGGTTTTGGGAACCCTTCGACAACAGTTGCTGTATCCTACATGGACCGAAGATTCAGATAACTTGTCAGATGATGCTAAACAAAGTGGTATGACATCTCATGATCCATAGCTTAACATCATTTTCTTATGCCATTGTTACGCCTTATAGGTTCTCAGTCTCATTACAGGTTGTCATTCCTCATATGGCTCATCTCTGTTGGCACTTTCTGCTTAGTTATGCGTTGATTCACTTCTTTTGGCTCTTATACAATGTGAACTGCTTTATATCCTATTCCTAAATATACTTGCATGTAGATTTCTATGTGGTGTCCTCATGTCGTTTTACCTGTTGGAAGAATGCTATTTAAAGATTCTGTGTGGTGAAATTTCTCCAACTGACAATATACAGATTCTGTGCCATTCTTGATGCGTGCACGGGATGCAAGGTGTGTGAATGAAAGATCAAAGAAGCCTACATCAGAGGATCTACTACAAGTTCTCAATGATGTATCCCTTGGACACTTGTTATCTCGTTTTGACGGCCTAGATTCAACACATGAGTGGTCGAGCGTTCTTTCCCTTGGCGAGCAACAGCGCCTTGCCTTTGGCCGCTTATTGCTTTCAAAACCAACTTTGGCTCTGTTGGATGAGTCTACTAGTGCTCTTGATGAAGCCAATGAGGTAATTTAATGATTTGCAGATGCTATTTTGTTTGCTGTCCTATTTTGTAGTTCATTTAGTCATGTGGATTGCATTGATTCAGATTTCAGATTAGTACACTTCACTTTTCTCAGGTATAGGTCTCTGTCCATAAAGGCTGGAATCATATACAAATAAATCTTGCTAGTCACTAGTCAGTACAGGCTTAATAAGTCACAAAGTTTAAAGTACCTCATTCCAACGTTCTAAAAAGGGGAGTTGGGAACTCGCGAGCTTGCCTTGGTGTGAGGCAAGCTCGAAGTGCCCGAGACAACTATGGGAAGTAAAAGTTTAATTGGCTAATGCTAGCATAGGTCGGACATTTGCCTAGTAAATGCATGCTCCCTAGGGAGACTGTTTAATCTGTTTCCTGCACTAATCTTAATTTTTTAAAAAGAAAGAAGATATTTGACTAATATAATATATTTGTATTTATATCTTTTCTAAAGAATATAATTCTCTGTGGTTTGTAAAATAGTGACTTAATATGAATTTTATATATTTGCTATTTTTAAATTTAGTTTTATTTCTTAGTACATAAAAAAAAGAAGTTGTGGGCTTACGCTCCGTTCTTAAGGCTAATATTCCACTCCATGATAGGTAAAACACCCCACCTCCTCTTGTCCTTTGAAATGCTGCTAGGTCTGTTAAGCTTTGAAATTTACTATCTGAAGCAATGTTAGGTTCAAAATGCACTTCAATTGTAGTCAACATTTGAAAATCATTTTTATCTTCTGCAGTAACGTATGAGACCTCAAATTTTACCATATGAACATCTGTTGCTATCTCTCCTCTCAAAACGTTGGACTTTGTTTCGACAATCAAATGACATATCCAATTCTTGACTCCATTTATTATTTCTTGTTTCCTTGCGTTTGCTTCTAAATAACTGGAGATGATAGAAAAACCTTTGTTGTACTTTGTCTCTGCAGGCACGTCTATATCAGCTAATCCAAGCTGCAGGAATCACGTATATAAGTATTGGCCACCGTAGAACCCTCTACAAATACCATAAAAAGGTCTTACACGTATCTACTGCTGATAGTACAAGTACCCAACAGAATTGGAGCTTTAAGGATGTAGAGGAGGACCCAATATATGATTTTTCGAAGCAGTAATTCATGCAAATAATTTTTTCCTTTAGTACATGATACTAATGCTTGGATGCTAATAGGATTCCACTCTGCTCATGAGGAAGTTTCCCAGAATTTCATCTTGACTATGCTGTTACTGTATGGTCAATGGGGATTGGGGACTGGACATGGACGCTATTAGTGAATGCAGTAAGAAGTACTTGATGAATGTATCCCAAAATGTCATTTCAACTTCTTCATACAATTAAGAAACGTATGATACAAATTTTCTGTTTTCTATATAGTTCGTGTTCTATATGTATGTAATTATATTGATGACTGGTTAAAAAAATAGGTAGATCTTATAGAAAAGCAAACCAAAAAAGATTTAACAGAGTGGATGAGAAAGAGCCTCAAGCTGCTAGACTATAGACACATTAACAAATTCACCACACAAGTGAATGTAATAATCAACGAAAAGGAGAACATGACTGGTTAAATGTAATAACTTTTGAAGGAGAAATGAGAATTCTTGTAGCCAAAAAGAACGAAAGAATATGGTATTCTTATTGAAAAAAGACCTCTAAATCAATGGATGGTTTCCCCGTGGTGGCATGTTGTTTTGTGGATAACTGAAGGGATCCCCGAATGGGTTGGAAGATCTCATGTACCACGTTTGTTGAGAATATTGGCCTTGATATTGATGATGTACCATCAACATGTTTTGTTGTGGTCGCTGCTGCTGCTGCATCATGTATTGTTGTTGTTGTTGCATCATTTGGTATTGTTGTTGTTGCTGCGCCATCATTTGTACGCTTGTTGGAGGGGCTATGTGGTTTGACATTGCAAAAGGGTCATTGTGATTGACTGAACTCTGTCCAGGCATTTCATACCCATACCCATATCCTGCACTATACCCTGCTTGTTGCAGCTGTATTTGCCTCCTAGATGCATCATCCTGATACAAGCTGTCAAGTAATAGCTTGTCGAATCCCCCAGCCTGATAAAAAACACCATGGTAAAGTAATGATGAAATCAATGCACATAGTTCTGGGAGTTTATGAATAAAGAGGACATACCAATTCTTTATCTGATGTGATTTGGCTTCTATTGTTACTCGGTTCTGTAACAAGAGCCAATTCCCATCCTGATGTTTTTCTGGTTTCACTCACTTGATTATTAGCTGATGGATTTTCTTTGCCTGTATAATATTTCAAATACATCAACTCAAAATTGTCTGTATAATAGAATCACCCTCTTGCTTTAGACAAGTTGTGTGTATTACCAGGTGGAACGATTGCAAGAGCCAATGCATTGCTTTTCTCTAATTCTGCAACTCTTGGATCCACTTGATTCAATCCCTGTCCACAAAGATTAACAATGTGTTCTGAGCAAGACTATTACACAAGAAAAAAGGGGACACGAGCCATGAACAAAGATTTGATCTTTCCCCAGTGAATTCGAAATGCATACCAGCAAATCAACAGGTTCTTCTGTTGATATCAGTGGTGGTGTTTCTTCCTTTTTAGGTACTGTTTCCTCTTGTGCTTCAGTATGTTTTACTTCACTAATTTTGGCTTCTGGAACTTTGTTTTCACTTGCCTCAGAGACAATTTCTTCAGGCTTTTCAGGTTTCTGCTTGGTTTCGCGATACTCCTGCAGGTAACAAAGGCAAACACTATAACCAAATTGGTGAAGGTAAAGTTCAAATTTATGTGACCAAATTGGTAAAGCTAAGTTCTCACCAGCCTGTTATTTGGCATTGAATCTGTCTGAGGTGCTTCTCTAATGTATTCCTCCATGGTTACCAGAAACGATGCAGGAGGCTGCAAATTAAAGATCAAGAATGAAGAGAGATCAAGTGAAGATTGTACATTATCCAAAAAGGTGAGAAAAAGACCTGTTTCAATGTAGGAAACTGAAAGGTACGCGCTACATCCAAGCCTCTGCAGAAGTCATAAAAATGAGCGAGATGTTCAGCCTACATTAAGTGGAGAAAAAAAAAGAAGAAACTTAGATATCTTATACCATATCTGTAAAAAGTAAGAACATCCAAAAGAACTGAATTTTATCAACCTGTTGTCCAGCTCTTTTGTATATACTGAGAGCTTTTATAGCGTCAGGCTTTGACATCTCAAAAAACTGCAGGAACATGAAGTAGCAAGTTAAGTTTAGAAAGAGCAATGGTTAATGAGGTAGAGATATCGAAGAGACAAGGAACATCATACATAGTCGACAAGATTGATTATTCCATCATTGATTGCACAATAGATCTTGAAACTTTCCTTCAACACCTACAAAAAGAACAACTAGAGGTTCATAAGATTGATGAACATAATAACAAGTTTCCGACATGGTCCATTTCTTGAGCTGGTAAAAGTAGTATTTCTATACCAAAGCCAAGGCATACTGAATGAGAAAGTTATAGCAAGCTCCTCCTTCAGGCTGCAAAATTCACCAGAGATCAGAGAATTGGAATAACAATGAGTTTATCGCGGCTATAACAGCAAAGGTTGTTACAACCTGGCAACCAGTTAAGCGATAAAGAAGTTGTTGTAATGCTGGGAGCTGCTCTAAAAGTTCTTCTCCATTCAAAAGCCTAGTTCTACAATGCACCTGATGTGAAACTCAGGTTATGTACATTGTTTTCACTATGTATCTTACATGAAAAAGAGAATATATATGCAAATGACTGACAAAATGCACCTTGTTTATTCCAACTGAAGGTTTGGTTGATCTTTCTGCAACAATATCATTTTTCATTGTCCTAAAACACTCTAGTCTTTCCTCCAGAAAGAGCGCATATGTACGTACCCAAGCTGAGCAATCCCAACCTGTGTTTAAAACACAATACAATTACAATACTATGAGTAAGCTTGAAATTGTGGTTGTATAGGCCTTTAACTTGGCCTCAGCTGGAATCTATGCCCTCCAACTTTGGTTGTGTACAAGTAGACACTTAAACTCCTATAAAGTTGAACAAGTAGACACATGTAGGATGTGAATTGCTATATAGAACGTGTGTGTCTACTTTGTTCAACTCTGTACAAGTTTAAGTTCCTACTTGTGCACACCCAAAGTTTGGAGGACAGATGTTAGACGAGATCAAGTAGTTAAGGACATGTTTATGTTTTATGCCGGTTATATATCAACTTTTAACCCTACTTATAAACATCAAAACAGGATAGACAATAAGATTACCAAGATGACTTGAATCATCCTTGAAGTTTGATAGTTGAAAAATGTACCCTCTCTGAGAGCAACGCAGTAGTTCCTCCTTGAATGAAGGATCACCTTCTCGCAATACCCTATGAATAACAATCAATGTCTTTATGACAACCTGAAAAATATTGGATGAAAATGAGATTAGATATAGAGACAACATGATCAGTGAGGATATTCATGAAGTTGATCTCATATTGCTTGGGATCGAGGCATAGTTATCATTGTTTACGATTCAATAAATAATACTAGTCAAGTAAATCAGCTTAGAAAACTTACAATCCAATTTCGTGTCTTTGACAATCGTTTAGAAAGTGCATGAATGCAATAGGCAACATCTGCTCTTGGGCATGTAATTGATGTTGCCACAATAATTCCTGAAATGTTAAGAAATAACCATATTTTTGTTATCTCTGGTATTCAGAATAGTAAACCAGAAACAATTAATATGCCCATGATAGGAGAAAGAGAGATTAATATTACTATATAGGCAAACATTATTACAAATGTAAGTCCCAATTTGGATGTGTATATATAGTTGATCACAAATATATGAATTTGGCAAATTAAAAGAACATAAACAAGAGATCTTGAATTATATAGAAATAAAACTTTGGAGAGGAATGTTTCAATAAACTCACTTGCAATATGTCTTTCTTTTGGAGGGCTCTCAACATGATTTGTTGCTTTAACAATAGCAATATCTAAATCCTTCAATTGAAAACAAGAAATTAAAAGATCATCCATCTAGAAATACATGACATTGATTTAGCATAGCTTTATGCACGTTCTGAAAATAAAATATTTTTTTATGGATATATTGCGAACCTTGAATTCGCTTTTGACCTTGGCTAAGCCAACTTTTGTTGAATCTTTAAGCTTCCCATATGCTTTTCTAATTTTCTCCATTCAAAATGATTTTTTTTTCTATTTTGGAAAATCAAAATCACTTTTTGGATCAAAAGAGATATAGAGATAAAATAGATAAAGGAGGAGGTTTCTTTATTCTAATTCTAATTTATTATTTTGTTTTCTCTGGAAATCACATATTGCATGACACATACTTTCTCCCTTTAAAACTGATTTCTCATGATGGTTATATGCATGGTTTCTGTTTTCAATAATGAAGTTGCATGAAAGGAGGGTTGTAAAATGAAAATCGTTTGGTGAATATTGAATATCATCTCATTGAGTGCATTTTGGTCTTTTTCTTTTATAAAATTTACTTATTTACAATTAATTCATTTTATTAATAATTAAAACACTTGATGACAGTCAGGTTATTTTTCTTGATCATTTCTATTCCACCATAACCATATAGGATGTCACCAACAGAGTTAAAGTAACAATTACAAGACTTAATAAGCAAGGGGTTCATTATACCTAATGTCTTCCTTGGGTAACTACTGTTTTATTTGTGAAGACAAACAATGAGCCTATGTGGATGTGTATTAACTATCGACATTTAAACAATGTGATAACAAATAATGAATATCTATTATTGTGCATTGATAAATTATTTGACCTAAAAAAAGAAAATTTTAAAATTTGAAATATTCTTCAGAAATAATTTTTTTTTTAAAAAAATTGACGGGAGGTGGTGGGTAAGGGGGTAGAGATAGCGTAAAAAATGAAAATTTTAAATATTTTTTAAATTTTTTTTTTGACTGGCGGTAGAGGA